CGTCATCGGGGCATTTCTCTTCAATACCTTTTTGTAAATTTTTAAACTCTTCAAGTTCATCTTTGTAAACTTCAATTCGATATTGTACTTCTACAATATTAGGTTTATTTGTATACAAATTATCAGAAAATTGCTTTAAAGTAACTAAATCTTCTTTCATAGAATCTCGGTTTTTTATCAATTGTTTAAGAGTCATTTTAAATAGAGATAATAGTAGCTAATTTTTGTAAGAAATTGAAAATCAATTATCAATTTAAGATAAAGAACTTCCGATTAAGCTTCCTTCTCACATAAATCCGAAAGAACAAAACAAAAATCGTAATTTTTATATATTTTTTTTATATATCTACCTAATTTTAAATCGCAAAATTGTTTGAAATCGCTTAACCCCTGTACATAAATTGGCACTTAGGAATTTAAATAGTAGTAGTAAGACACTTAAGCACATAAATTGGTGCTTTTTAAATTGTAACTTAACAAAATCAAAAAATAAATAGGTGATCAATTTATCACAATTTATCACGATTAAAAAAAAATAACTAGCAAGTTAATTTATTATTTAAATCGTATGCTTGCAATGCCTTTCATAAATGGTAAAAGCCACAAATTGTTATAAAAGGAATAAAGGAACGAACCGACCTGTTTGTTGATGCAAATTCCTGTCGGCGTCTGTAGGAACACCACACACAGCAAAAATGGCGAATAGGCAAAAATCGTCACGTTCTTCTTCCAGTTGATGTAATTGAAACTACACAATATCTCGGTGAGATGGACCAAATGTTAAATCGTTAAAATTGATGTAATTATGGACTGTATGTTTCACTGATTCTAATCTTTATTTTAATAGAACAATTACAAATAATTAGCAAAATAAACGTAAAAAAAACAGAGCGTTGCAAAAGTCAAATAGTCAATATCAATCAATATAATCCCGCGTTCTTGTTCGGACGGCACATCCATCGCGCCGCGCAGGGTTCTTGGACCGTCTCTTCTTATTGGCTGGCGCAGTGTCGCGTCACACACTGTTGACACCGTTGCCGAGCATAAGATAGATTTATTGTATGTGTTTATCTGCAATGAATGTCTTAAACAGTCTTCTTTACAAATTTTTGGCCCGATTTCTTATAATAAATATTCAAATTCACTTTCCGACATTCTAAAAAAATTCTAAAGGTACCATTTCGGTAGGCGCGTCAGGAGACCACCGAGGCGACCCAAAGGACGACAGATGCATAAATGTTACGCTTTACGCTCGTACATTTCGGAAGCTTGGAGACGGGTCGCGAGACACACGATAACCATTTGAGGGAACGATCAGCGTTGCCAGACCTACTGTTTTTACGTAGATCCACTGTTTTTGTCTCTAGCAAATTTTGTTCAAAATTTATTAAGTTTGCCTCATTCTTCAGCAAATGGTTAAAGAATATTTTCTCTAGTAAAATTTCTGCAGTAAAAGCAGCGTAATAAGGCATCCACTACTGTAGGTTGGCTCCATAAAAAAAAACATCAAGATAATCATTGTTTTTATTTAAAATGAAACAAAGAATTAATAGGGCATCATAAAAAGAACATGCATATGCCAAACACTACGATTTTGAATTACCTGATTTAGACTGATCTAAAAGGAGTAGGTACCTATTATTTTTCATTGTTTTTATTCTTTGTTTACCTTCTAATTTGGGTAGAAAAAAAGTTTATTTTTCGTTTCTTATATACTTGTTTTTATTTACTACACTGCAAATTTTAATTATTTCCCCCTGTATTAAAATCTACTGTTCATATCTACGGTTTTTTTTTTTCACCCATACTGTCCCAAAATCTGGCAACACTGCCTACATCGAAAGAAATTTCCGACCTAATCACCTCCAAAAAGAAGCGATGCCCGAGGACAGTGACCTCGAGGGCGACACGCAGCAAACGCTTTGCCCCGAGACAGATTCAGAAGTGTCGCCTTGGCGACACTTCTCGTGTCGCGCCGTGCGAAATGTGTTTCATATAATTGTATGTATTTTAGACATGGAGAGACACTTCTCGGTCGCGTTGGCGGTCGTCTGTCGCGTCTACCGAAATGGTACCTTAAAACCACCATTACACCTGTATTCAAGGCTCAATATATTGACATCATCTTTTTTTAAATCTTCTATCAAATTACTAGCGTTGTATCTAGTTCTACTTTGAAGACTTGGTCGAACCCAAAATCTTCTTTTGCGTGCAAGATTTCTTTTTTTAGTGGCGATAATAATATATGCGGCACAAGCAACTATTATAGTCATCACGTCAGACATATCAATTTCGACTGATGGACAAACATTTCTGTTAACTCTGGTGTGGACAGATGCAGTTTTGTAGACCTGTTGATCAACAATGTCGATAGACAGAGTCGATCGGCAGTGTTGATTCAGTGAGGACGCACCTATATATAATTACATGTGTTCAGACGTGAAGAATCCGTTTTGGGTCTTCTCGTGTTTTGAAGTCGGTCTCGATCTCGGCTTGCGAAATGGTAGCTTAATAATTTAAATTGTTTGGTATTAATCTTATTCTATAAGACGATTTATGGCGAACAAACATTACCGCGAAATTCATGAAAAAATGAAAAAATCCTACGATGGGGGTTTGACGTTTACCACCATCTTTCTACCTACCAAAGGCCTTTCCAACTTCTGTCCCCGTTATACGAACCAGGGTTGGCAGGTACAGGTTTTTTCGCACCTAGGTTTTAAGGTTTTAAAAAACCTAAAAAGTTAAAATTTTGCCATTTTAGGTTTTTTCGAGGGTTTTTTAAAGATAAATATTAAGAATTTACAACTTTCCTTATCGATTCTCGGGAGAAAGGGTGCAAAAATGAGTAACTAGGTACCTATACGGAGTGGCCCAAAAGTCTGGAAACGGCCAATTATCTCGTAAATTGCTAGTCCTAATTGTACAAAATTTGGGGTACACCTATTTTGGGATACGGAGATTCAAGATTTGATATTTGCAATGTTGCCAGATTTGCCGTTTCTCTTATATTATTAGTCACTTTGGTTTTTCAAATTCATCACCCTGTATATTAAGTTATTATTGGAATCTCCTATTCAATACGAGTTCAACCGTATGTAACACTTATGATTTTATGTAGTCTGGAAGGTCTTATATAAATAAAATAACCATGGAGAAATGTGGTAGATGCATTCTATCATCGATTAGGGTACTGTCAACTCACAAATGGAGAACATTTTGAACACTTGATAAAGTAACCGTTATGTTAAAAATGGTGTAATGTTTCAATTGTTACGTTGAAAATAGTTTGTATTAAATTTGTTTTGAGACAATTAGGCGTTGCCAGACTTCTGTTTTATTTATTTAAGACCTTCCAGACTACCTAAAATCATAAGTGTTGCATATGGTTGAACTCGTATTGAATAGGAGATTCCAATAATGACTGAATATACAGAGTGATGAATTTGAAAATCCAAAGTGACTAATAATATAAGAGAAACGCCAAATCTGGCAACATTGCAAATATCAAATCTGGAATCTCCGTATCCCAAAATAGGTGTACATTAAATTTTGTACAATTAGGATTAGCAATTTACAAGATAATTGGCCGTTTCCAGACTTTTGGGCCACTCTGTATACTTAATTACAAATGCAAACATTTCATTAATGATTATAGGTACCAATTCTTCTTAATATTGATACCTAGTGTAAAATTAATAAATAAATAAATGTTTTTTTTTTAATTGTTAGGTACCTACTTACTATCATTCATACTTAGGGTCAGATTACAATTAGAAGAATACCGCTACGTCATAACCATTACTTCGAATTTCGAATACATATCTACCTACAACTAGGTAGGTATCAATAAATAAAAAATAAGTAAGTTGTAAGTTACTTATAAAACTGGTTATAAAACAAAACTTATTTCCAGAGTTATTTCCTATATTCCTAATGCCAAATGATGACGTAGCTGTGTTCTTCTAATTGTAATCGGACCCTACGTATTAATGATAGTAGGTACCTAACAATTTAAAAAAAAAATAACATTTATTTATTTTACACTTTTTTTTTTGTTTGCAGAATGTGATTTTTTTAATACAATAAAATTATATTTTACAAGTTTTGCTTGTATTTTTTATTTACCTTTAATTTAATTAATAACTTTTGACATAGGTAAGTAAGTACATACCTATATGAACGAAAAACCTTAAAAAACCTAAATAATCTAAAAACCTACTTACATTTTAATTCTAAGGTTTTTTCTAATCCAAAAAACTATTGGTGCATCATTAGAAACATGAAACAATAATTAAGTGAAATTCAAGAAAAAGCTCTTATTAAGGATAATATAGACAGTCTTGGAATGAATGATTATGTTTGTTGGACATCAACCTATGCCATATGTAGCCTATAAGAAGTCTTTGTCGCACTTAAAATTGTTCGTTAGTAAGTACCTACCTAAGTATTTATTATTAATCGATTTTAATATTATTAGCAACTACTAGATGGAAATCCAATTTGAAAGTTTTACCCCATTAAGTACCCTATCTAAAAATTTGTCAAATGCTTGTCAGGAAATAAAGAATAACAAAAATTATGTAATTAAGCAAAATCGTTTTGATACTACCTACCTACTTCTTCGATACTTTCAATCGCATTTATCGTCAACAAAACTACCTATTCTTGTAGGTGGATACTTAATCCATGAATTTATAATAAAACCATTGAAGTGTAACAAAAAAGAATAATTAAGTTATCTTGCAAATGCTTGCATGTATACATGTACCTATGACATGCCAATTTTTAAATAAATCTAATTATTTTTAAGCATTCAAAATAAAATTTAAAGCACAACTCGCAGACTATATTGCAATAGAAAGTTGTGTTTTGTAGTCTCGCAAGGTGATTGTCGAAGAGAATCACGTACCAAGAGACGTTCCGTGGGGTAAAAAACTAGGTCGCGTTTCAATGTCTTTGCAATAAAGGGTGCGGTTGTCAATACTAAACAAAAATACCTTATCTGCTGGGATATGCCTGCTGGACATCTTTTCTGGTGATCAATCCGACTATCCTAGGATCCCAAAATGACTAGAACCGCAGAGAAATGTCACAACACCACCATGACACAAAACTTGCACCAGCACTAATCAGGAATCTTAGCTAAACATTTTTATTCATAAAGTTTCACGTAAACACAGCTGAACATAACAATATACACTGCACTGAAACTGAACAAAAGGTGAAATTCACTTGACTAGGGGTGATAAAGGAGACAAAATACAACAGTACAGAGCAGCCAGGCCAAGAAAGCCACCGCGAGCTTGCGCCTACAGCTTCCGTCAGCAACTACTTCGCTGCTAGTGGTGCTTATTTGTGTTCATTTTTGTCTTGCTTGTTATTTCCTATTCTATTTTCTAAAAGCCGCAGTAACAATATCGCCATCTGGTATCCAGACGTTACGCTAATTTAATTGAATTTTTTGACGTGACAGGATTCTGATTTACCATTAGAGAGATTTTCATTTTACCGACATAAGTCCAAACCCAAAAATTCAGAAATAACCAGAATAGAGAGTCTAATTATATTTTATTTCGTATATGTATTTTTTATTTTATGTCTGTTTTGATATCCGTGAGATTTATTCATCAACAAATCTCTGAATTCAAATAGTCTTGAAAACGATGTTGACAAGATGACCCCAAACGTCAAACGACTGTCAAGTCAAATTGTTTAACAGTTCACATAACCTTACTTTTTACCCGTACCTTTCAATAAAAAGAACAACAAATTTGGTATGTCCCGTTTTGATCTCATGTTTAATTAAGAAAAATTGAAATGGAAAGCTTAATTGAAGATATTTCGAAGTGTAGTTGTGGAGACGATCATCAAGACATAATTACATTTTTAACTGTGAGTATAACGTACGATTTATACTAAAATTTTGTAGCAGGTGTGAACACACCTACTAAAAGTTAACTTCCTTTACTTTATAAGGAGTGAATTTATAAATTAATGTGCAAGAACATATATTTATTTTTATTATTCACTTTATGTAGGCTTACGTTTGAAATATAACAAGTTTTTTTCGCCTTGTAAGGTAATTTTTTATTTGGTTTCTAATTTAATTTTAGAATAAAACGGAAGATGTTTACAGGTTTAGAGATAGATATTTTGAAACTCATAGTATTGAAGAGGCTATTATGAAGGAAGCAGAAACTGAGAAACTACAAAATGAGACCCTAAAAATATTCAATACCCATGAACAATACATCACTGATGCCAATCGAGCAAAATATAATTATTTAAAAGGTAGATTATTAAAAATAACCTTGTAAATACTTCTGTGACAGACAATATGACTTCTTAACAATGATCCAAAGCTAGTTTAGTTTTTGCTAGCTAAGTAGGTACTTATATTTAAAACAGTTTTATCCATGTCAAAAACCCATATTAGAGCTCTGGAGAAGGTTCTGATGAAATGAGGCATATTCTAAGCAACATTCCTTCATTTAATTTTCAAATTTGTTCTGCATGTTAAGTACTTATCCATTCTTAGTCAGTCAAAATATAAACTTTTATTTGAAATTTGAAAGAGGAAATATTTCTCAACATCTAAAATCTCTTGGCACAGTATAATGCTTAAATTGACCTTAGCTCAGATTTGTAATCCTCCTTAAAAAGTTTTTCATATTAATGTAGCATTCTTTAAGATCCACATCCCTTAAACCTCCATCACCAAATGAATCTGAACTGTCTATGAGAATCAAACATTGTATCACTATAAAAATTCTTCACATGAAGCCCACCAAAAATTGTACCATTGCCAAGTCACTTTCCATTTTCCTTTTGTAATTTTAAACTGTTCTATTGGTGAATTTCATACATTCCAAATTTTAACGAATCAAAAGATGTTTTCTATTGTGCTATAACTCAAGGGCTAGCAAAACGAAGAAAACATGCCAAATGTGACTAAACTTTCATTAAAGAGACTTTGGTTTGTTAAAAAAAATTGAATAGAAGGGATATTAGTACCAAATGCAGAATACGAAGCGGCCATTGTTTGAATATGGAACATCTCAAGAGAGGCATAAAGAAAATGATAGATGTATTTGTGGAGTGGACATATTTTTTTAATTATCAAAATAATTTTTACAATATCTATAAATTTTTAGAGAGTAGATGTCCCAAAAAATTTTATAGTCCCTGTTACACTTTTTGATATATTTTTTAAGCATGTCTTTTGGCAATGTTAAAAAAAAATATCAAAATTTAGGCAAATATCTAGAATTAAGCTGTCAAATATTGTAATTATTTACTAGTTGTTACCAAATAGCTGTATCATCCTAGATATGTAGGCCAATAAATTAATTAATAAAAAAAAGTTACAAAACCTTACTTAAAGAACACTTATTTACATTATAAAACTGCCAAAATTGCCTCAACAATATACAATGAAATAATAATTAGATTTTTCAGGCTGGAAAAGAAATATAATATTTAAAATCAATAATCCACAAAATGTATTCTAATTATATCAAACGGGAATAATTTAGAACTACATTTTGATAAAAGACATTCAACAACATATTTGGCTGCAGAACTTTTTTTTTTGTATTGTAGGTAAATTATTGAATGTAGTTCCTAGCTATAATAAAGAAGCTGAAAATCTGTTATCAAAAGCAATAAAGTTAGATCCAAAGTTAGTTGATGCTTGGAATGAATTAGGTGAATGTTATTGGAAAAATGATGAACTAAAAAAGTCAATAAACTGTTTTGAAGGTGCTCTAAAAGAGGTTTGTATATATGTACCAACAAATAATAAAATTATTTGTTAAAAAATTTATTATGTTTCAAATACATTTTTCTTTCCTTTCTTAATTTGCTTCATTTATTTCAGAAAAAGAACAAACATTCACTAAGAAGTCTATCAATGTTAGTTAGACAAGAAAGTTCAAAGACTAGAGATGAAAAAGTAAAAAACATTGAAAAGGGTCTTAATTATGCCAGAGAAGCAGTTCAGTTAGATCCCCAAGATGGTTTATCTTGGACAATATTGGGAAATGCTTATTTGTCTTCATTTTTTGGTATTCAACAAAATCCGAAAATCTTGAAACAGTGCCTGAGTGCTTACACACAAGCAGTAAGTATAATTTTCTTTTTAATAATCTGCTATAACATCTTGCCCAATAATATATTCAAAAAAGATGACTTATTAGTGACAAATGTCATTATGATTTTGATTCTATAATTCTTATATTCTTAATATATTTGAAAAATAACCAAATTTAAATAGAAAAGATTATGTTTTTCAAAATCCTAAAATATTTTATTGAGTATATGTTTCTCTCTTTTAGGAAAAAGATTTTATTGCTAAAAGCACGCCAGATCTTCACTATAACAAAGGAATAGTAAGTATATCTATTTTACTTGATATCACTTGACAAAAATCTCATTAGACTTATTTTATTCTCAAAGACTTTGAAGTATGAAGAGGAATTTAAACTAGCTTTGGAATCATTTCACGAAGCTTTCATGTATAACCCAACATGGGATCCCCCTAAAGTTAAAGAAAAACAACTAGTGCAGTATTTGAATGACATTAAAGGATTTGTATCTACAAGTGGGAAAATGAAGGCAAAAAGATTGCAGCAGCTACTACAGGTATATTCTAAATTGTGATGAAATGATTTTGTTAGTTTTATGATACACATACAGAGTAGTTTATGGTTCTGTGCACATTTCTGTACTTCTGTGTCCCTGGTCTCCATAATATGTCAGAAAATATGTCCCTAAATCTGATATATTAAATCCCTTAACAAGAAAAATTATTTCTGTTGATTTTAGTCTATTGACTCCAAACAATTGGGTCCCTATGGAGGGGGAAGTTACACATCGCCAGTAGGTCTAAAAGTAAAATTAGTGGAAACAAAATTAAAAGATCTCAAACCAGGAATAAATGAAGAAATGGTTGTGTTAGGAAAAGTTGTATGTTCTGTTAGAAACGAGGACACAGTTCCTTTGTAAGTAATTTTATGTTACAATAATATTCAAACAAATCCAGAATCCAATGCTGGAAGAACATTTTAAAATGTTATTACTGTATTACTGAATCTCTTTTTGTTTTGTAACAACAATGAAAAGAACAGTACATTTTTATAATTTTTTCAGTACATTCTGTATGGTGGATAAAGAAAGTACATGTGTAGTTGTGACTATATTCAATTTAGCTGATGGTAAAGGTGTCATAATTGGAGATTCGGTAGCTATTGCAGAACCCTACATGACTGATGTTGACTTTAGTTATAAGGATATTGTAAGTAAATAATATTACAACTTATATAACTTTCTTTAGTTCAGAATTTCCATGAAAGTTCAAATAATTTACCTCAAAAAATAAAAATAATTGAAATTAAGGCTGAGTTTATCTGAAAATTGGCGCCATCCTATTGCAAATAAAACCAACATCCATCCTTGCCGTTACACACTCAGTTTAGAAAATAACCTAACCAACCATCCATCCTTGCTGTTACACACACACAGTTTAGAAAATACGATTTTGTGGGTTCTCAAATTAATATTTGTAGTTGAAAGTATCAGATGTCTAGTCTTAATTTATGTTTCGAAAATTGTTAGCTAAATAGTAAAGTAAATTTACCATACATTATTATAGCTTAATTTAAATGATCTTCATTAATTATTAAACTTGACTATGAGGAACCAATCTAAATGAATATGTAATAATTATATGGTGTATAAAATGCATCAAAATAATCCAATTTATTAACGACCACCAGTAGAGGCTTCTAGTTTAGTGAATTTTCTGCCAGCTGAAATTTAAAAGTTCAAAAATGAAAAATGATATCAACTTGAAATTTTCAGGAAAGCTCTATAAGAGGACGAAGCTTATGGATAAAAATTAAAAAATTTAAGAACATTGAAATTTCAGAAAAATTATAAATCAAAAACGAAAAGCGATATCAACATGAAATTTGTGAATTAAGGGAGGTTAAAATATTTAAAAAATCCTAACTCAGAAAGAAAAAATGATATGAACTTGACTTTTTATCAAAAATTAAGTTCTATAAGGGGGCAAATCCTGATTTTTAAAAAAATCTGAATAAAATTGGGGGTTAAGGGGATAGAAATAAAAAAAATAAAATCAGAAATCAAATATGAAAAGAGATATGAACATAAAATTTTTAGTAAAAATCAAGTTCTATAAGGGGTTGAAGCATAATGATTCTGAAAAAAAAAAAATATGATTAAAAATAGAAGAGAATACTATAGAATGCCAAGCATTATAAATCTTCATTCTAGTTTTAAAACTGATCTTCAAAATGTCGAGAACAATTATTATATGTGGAGTAGACCTATAATTCAAAATAAAAAAAATCTGTATTCTTTAAAATAAAACAAAATTAGCAGGTATTTATTTTTCAATGTGGTTTACATATAAACGAAAAACAAAATTGTTAAATATGTATAAGACATTAAATACCTACTGAAAAGAAAAAAAAAATTAAATAGGAAAGAAAACATCTATTTTTAAATATGTTCACATTGGGAGTGCATAATATCATGTACCTACAGTATACCAAAATATACATGAAAATGTATGATATAAACAAAAAATTGTTTCTGAATACAAACCAAAATCATAACAAAAATAATGAATTTAGTCAAGATTATTATTGTGCATTTATAAATAACAGCCTTTATATACTAAATTAACTAAAATAAATTTAAGGTAAAAAGTTGATATTAAAATCAAATTAATGTAGCAATTACATTCATGTAATCTTTTAATGAACAGAATATGTTTGTACCATGTGAATAATATTAAAAGTGGTGATCGCCTGACTCTGTTTTAAATAAAATTCCTTTATTTTTGCCCTAGAAAGCACAAGATACAAACAATTCAAAGCAATCTTGCCGTTTTAAGCATATTTAAAATGTTGTTTTAAAAAGGCACTAATTCAAATCCCAATTAATTTGCAATTGCAATCGCAGACTTGTGGGCAGGTGCGTCTACCTGGTGGAAAATCACTTTCTTCTTTTTTAAATGAGACCGTTTCTCATTGATTTTCTCACTAATGTAACAAATTGGCATTATACCCGCTATTTATTCTTTTCCCTTTTTCTAAATACGAACCAATGTCCAACGTTGCTAGCTCAAATAAGTAAGTGTCATTTAAAAACATGCAGTTGAATATAACAAGTTCTACACAATTCATTATGAAAACATATATTATTATATGTAGTTTCATTAATTTTATGTAGTCGACATCCACTCAGATGTCCACCTCTTTCGAGTGACAATCGCGCTACAAGACTGGACTGGTGTCAAGAATATCAGAATTGGGCTGTACATGATTGGGCTACAGTTTTATTCCAGGTTTGGAATTCTATCGTCGAACAAGACCGTGGAGACGATATGGAAATGTGGAACATTTAAGACATGTTCAGGAAGTGTACATATATAGAGGTGATGCAATAATGGTATGGGGTGGAATAATTATAGGCGACAGAACCGAGCTCGTTTTTCCAAATCGCTTCCTAACAGCTAAGCTATATCTGGATACTATTATTCAACCCATCGTGCATTTATTTGCAGGCGCTGTTGGTCACAACTTTCACTTCATGCATGATAATACTCGGTCATTAGCCTCGTGTTCTGTGTAGGCTTTATTACTGTTTCCCATCGCCACTTTAGGAGCAATTAGAACCCAACAGTGAATGGTCGAGTGGGTAATCCTACCAAGGCATCAGAATTAATTTTAAATAATTAAATTAAATAAAAAAATTCCGGCCAACGGTGGGATTCGAACTTGGGACCCTTGGATCCACAGGCAGAGACACTACCACTGAGCCACCCACCCCTTAACAGCACGTTTTGTAATGAATTGGTTGACTAACGACGGAATTGAAGTTTTACCATGGCCAGCACAATCTCCGGACCTAAATCCATTTGAGCATGTGTGGGATATGCTTCAACGTATAATTACTCCTCATATGGACAAGATTTACCTTAAGGGGACATTGTCAATCTCATTTTGTCTATGAACAATAGATCTAAAGCTGTAATAAACCTACATGGTTGTCATCCTTTATATTAAACAGTTTTTTTCACATATTCATACTCAAGCTCTATAAATACAATTTGTTTTTTATATATCTGCTGGGTTTTTTTGTACAAAACATTTAATTTTATGTAATATTAAAAACTTTTATTGTTATTTTCCTAAATCAAGTCAATAAACAAGAAATTTATTTGTGACTGTCCCCTTAGACCATATATCAGTGACTATTTCTCTAGAGAAATAGTCGTTTCAAATATAACACGACCTGGATTAATATTCTGCTATTTTTGTTGTTGTTAATTTCTCGAAAATTTTACAATTTGATTCTACATAATTTTGGCATTAATAATCAACTGATTAAAGCCCTCGAGCTAAAACGCTCGGGCTCTAATAAGATTATTTATGCCTAAAATTATGTCTCATCAAATTGATATTAAAATATTCTCTAAATTTACATTCAACAAAAATAGCCGACTATTATCAAGGTCTTGGTATATTGCCCTTGAAAATATGCCTAGACTTTTCTGATGTGTATAGACATGATAACATCGTTTCTTTATTAAGGACAACAAACGAATATTTTAAAATTCTCTAAGGCTTTACTTCCTCAGCTCGTCGGTACAATAGACCAGATTATTTTCCTTGCCTATCAACTTATTTTAACCACTCACATCGCAATTTACGTTATCGTTAGAACCAATCAGAACCAAATAAATTGACTATTTTTTACTGACTATCTCGTTTTGATTATCATGCATGGTTCTTGATATATTCACCTATGTTGACAGCAACTCGCATACTTGATTATAGGTGTAATATTTAATAACGGCTACTATCAAATATATTTATTGCCAGAGTACAAGCTAATATCTCCCGGAACGTTTGAAAATGAATCGAAAATAAAAGTTATTTTATTGTGTATTTATTAATTTAAGTTAAATTTAGGGCTCTAGAACTAATCTCATTAAATATAACTCGACATTAATAAATTAGCGCCTATTTTTATTGCTACTAAATTTTTCGTGTAATTTGCAATTTGTCTCTATTCTTTGATTATTAATGACAAAATTATATCTCGACAAATTGATATCAAAAGCACTCAAAATTTAGATACAATAAAAATAGTAGACTTTTTATCAAGGTTTTGTTATATTATCCTTGATTACTAGTGTTTTCCAGATATGCATATTCATTGTTTTTTTGTTGTTGGAACATTGGTCCATTTAATTTAGTGAAATGGACATACTGACGTAATCTATAAACATATGAAAATTATAGTATACTTTTAAAACTGGGGACGATAGCTCAGCCTTTATTTCTAGTATTGTATATATTTTGTACCTAATATGCTTATATTCCTTTCTTTTAGTCATATTTTCTTTTAAAATATATTTATTATATCATAATTATTTGTTATTTTTTAGGACTACAAATTTAGACTGATAAGAGTAGAAAACCCCGTGATATTAGTTGTAAACGGCAAGAAAGTTAGTAAGGAGTTGCAAGCAGAGGTCCAAATGTCGATATTTAAAAAGAACGAATGACATTATAGAAGTGTTTCTAACAAATGCCTTTTAAAATTAGACAGCGTTTAATCAAAATAAAAAAAAAATAACCAAAAAATGTGTTAGATGATACATGAATTTGATGAATAAGTTATTTGAAATTTTTAATAATCTATAATTATTAACTAAAATGGTTTCAAATTTCCAGATGTGTGATACATTATTTTTAATAATTATAATGAATGAATGAAACATTTTTTTTTTCTTAAGTAACTATAAATATTTTTAAAAGGAAAAATTTATTTGCAGTTGTTGTTTTAAAGGCTCGTCCAGATGGTGTAATATAATGGAGCATAATGTTCATGAAAAATTTATATCAATGCTGTTTAGACTGCTGTAATGTAATAAAATTTGCTAGTATTTGTGAAGGTTCCAGTGGTTATTTTGTGATTAATTCTATTAAATTTGCAAAAGGGGCATCCAATATTTTAGAAAGAAAAAGAAAGGAATGGTTCGTAATAGTGTGACATCATTTTTCCAAACAAAGCAAAGGTACCATGATAATGGGGCGATACTGTTATAGTAGTTTACGTTATGAGTCCGTTACCTAGATTTTTACATGCAAGCATGGTCGTTATATGACCATGTGAGCACGTAGAAATCAGGTAACGGGCGTGTATTGTACAACGTTTTATTATATATTGCAATTTACTACGTTTTACGACCTAAAATAAAATAAAATTTTATCATTTGACACCATCATTAAGTTTCCGAATGTGACTTAAAATGACAGTTCAGTTACAACTGACAGTTGTAATATGTATCGTTTTCAATAAAAATTAATGATTGTTTTATTGAAGTGATCGGTTAAAATTATTACCGGGCTAGCCCGTTAAGATTCCCTTAACAACCATAAAAGATTGGTTACCACAGTATAACATTGCAGTATATCATAAAAAAATAACTGTCGTTAAGGTTGTGTGTTTGTTTAAGTAAAATTTATTTTAAATAGGCTACGTAAGTCGTGACGTCACAATTAAAAATAACTGATGTGATTTATGGGTAGCACAACATTGATCTAAAATATTTGATCGACTACATTTGATCAAAAAAACAATATATCGAATAACAACTGATTGAAAAGAAAAATTAATCGAAAGAAAAATTATGGAAAAGAACAATGATGAAAAGGAAATTAATCGAAAATAGATTAGATAGAAAAACAATTGATCGAAAAACCAAATGTCTATAAAAAAATAAAAATTAAATATCTTAATTTACCTAACCTGTGCAGCCTAGAGCTATCACGGGTTGCTTCGTAAAAAATATACAAAAAATGAGAAAAATAAAAAACTTAATGAAATGTTAGGTACAGGGTATTATTACACTGCGACCTGAAATATCTATTGTCTGCAGCTATTTTACTGTCGCTAATGCATCAAGAAAATAGTCTCGATGCCTATAATGACCCTTTCAATTCTATCTTCTCAAGTATGTTTAGAATTTGAAGAGGGTTCAAGTTAGGTAGATCACTATCTTCTATTTGGTACGCTCCTTGGATTCTGGAGTGCTACACTTTGTCAGAATGTGAATAGAGATTTCGTCATCCGAGTATTAGGTATTGGACGGTTGCATATTGAAAATCCTCGCTACATTCGACTTCATAAAAAATAATTATGGTAAACTGAAAACAAAAGGGTGTCCGTCTTCTCAAAGTAGTAACAAAATAATACACAAAAATAATAGTAAATAATTTTATGTGGTATATAATTTTGTGTATTATTTCGTTGTGGTAAAATGCTTTTTAGTTTCCAATTGCCCAAGATACTATCTTTTGTAATCTAATTAGTCAATAAAAAATATCTAATAATCTTATATTTTTTACAAAGTACTACTGTTGCCCTTTACATTTAAATTATTAACATGAAATACTATACAGTGTCAGCCACTGAACTTCTTCCAATACGCGATAAAACAAGAGCGAGTGAAAGCTACAGAGAGTTGGCATTGGAGAGAGCAGAAAAAGAATGTTGTCAACATTGCCATTTATACGAACCGACCGCGTTGAAACGTTGACCAGGCCGTGTAGGCTGATATTGTTCCTTTCCTGTTTGCCCTAGTGCTGGTTCTCTGTAGTTTTTACACGCACTTGTGCCAAGGGGTATTTGAAGATGTTCAATGGCCAATATGGTATAAATATTTTCAGTGTTTGTCTATGGAAAACCATGGCATTATAAATACATTACAGTTTTATAATTGTGTTCTGCACTCTCTGCTTGATTATTAATAAATTTATTTATATATTGAACCAAACCAAAAACATTCATAAAGTATTTGTTTATGGCAGTATGACAGATAATAGTATGTCATCTGACATCCATTGTCATGGTAACTTATTTTATGTATCAACTATATATAGAAACAGGATGTTACCAACTTTGTTTTGATGTCACGACTATCATGGTTCATTGTCATTTTAGATAAATGTTTACAGCACGGTGTTATTATAAAATGTTTGCACTATCCAAAACAAATTGGTAAAATTAATCAGAGTACGCTAGTGTATTTACGGCAAAAAATGGCGGTTCATTTTTAACCTGTCAGAAGTACAATCATAAATCACAGTTCATTTTAGCTTTTATCAAGTGAAAAATCCAATTGCGATCTAATTTTTAACATATTATTTACTACCTACTTGAAAATACAAACAAAACATCTTAATTTGTAGGTTTACTTACTGAATATAAAAACCTAATGAAAGCCTTTTTCGTTGCAATCACAGTTTTCTTCATTATCTTGTCCCTCATCGTCACTAGGATTAAAACCTTGGACTAAAGTAGCTATTTGTGTATTGAAAGCGAAAGTGATACTTTGCCGCTTGAGACATCGGTACGTACTTTTCGCTAAAAATGGTCACAAGATTTTTTCTACGATCACATTATTTTAAGAAATAGATATACAAACTGAAAATATCAAATGAACTGTAATTGCCTACCTCCGGAATCTTTCTAGTGGATATTGTTTATAAATATAGTTTAATTTCGCTAAGAACTAATAATTATATTGTGAAAAAAAGGTAGAAATTAATTTTTATTTATTAAATATATTCATTTACCTGCAACATATGTTTAATTTACATGCTTTTCTCCACGAGAAAGGAGGCGAGCAACAAAGCTGTCAATTTTGTTGCACATCGAGCGACAAAAAAACCGTTACTTAATTTCAGTTGGATTTCGAAGCCCAAAGGCCTACTTTGGATAGTGATTATAGAAAAATGTATTTTATCGCCAACCGTCAATAAAGCCATGCATTACCATAGCGATTTGCGGAAGTAAATAAACACTTTATCTAAGTGTAAAAATTTAATATATTATCTGCCGCTAATATTTATTAACAATCATGATCGTCTGACAGAAATAGTCTGTAACTAATTGGTTTTGTATTCGCTGTTATTTTTCTGTTTTTTTTTTGTCATTATAAAATGTGATGTTATAATATCTCCTTTTTTATTAATTATAATTATTTACGGTTGTCGATATAAGTTTGTATGGACCACGTCAGCAAAGTGTCTTTATCGAACTCGCCTGCTACTCGCCTCGCTCGCTTGGCTCATAATTTCAGACTAGTTCGATAAAGAACCACTTTGCTGACTTGGTACATAAACAGTGGCGGCTCACTAGCTAAAAATTGGGGGTTCACAACAACAGAATATAGATCTCAGTACAGATTTAGATAAAAAAAGTTTTAGTTTTTATAATACATCTATCTAAAACACTGAAAGCTTTTTACCTAAATCTGTTCTGAGACCTATATTCTTTCATTGTGAACCCCCAATTTTTTGGCGACGAGCCGCCACTGTACATAAATAACTATTATCATGCATATAAATACTGTAGCTAAATAAATTTTTTGTTGACAACTATTTCATTTTATCTAGCGGTAACTAATTGGAATATACTCGTATTTATTAGATTTTAAACGTATGCGTAGATCAATGTTTAGTAGTTTTTGTAAAGAAGAATCATTTAAAATATTAAAAACCAGTAGTAACAATAAACGTAATTTGTAGGCCATTTTCTGATCTTTTAATACAGCTCGCTTCAAGCATTCTAAAATTTCAAATTGTATCAGGGCATAAACAAAATTTGGTCCGAGTTTGGCTCGGAGGCCATACCCTTACCCAAAATGTTTAAAATATACCATTCACACAATATTTTTATCTATAATTCAAATAGAAAGTAAATCATTTGAAATTTTATGGAAATCATTACATGATTTTTGTTAGCTTGTCTTTCAAAAAACTACCAATATTATAAAAACTCTATTACTATAAAATAGTTCGAAAATAAAAATGTAAACACCACTAATTAACCATAAAATATTAGATTTAAAAAAATAGTACGAACCTAAGTAAAATATTTTCGGTCTACTCGATTTTTTATTCAGTGACGTCACTCCGTCTTTAGCAACGGGGTTAAGGCCACCGTATTGTCTACAAACCGTGATGAAGGTTGCCTGGAAGGTGACAAGTGCATGTATGAGACGTCCTAAGGTAGGAAGGTATGTAGTGCAACTGAGGCACTACAACCATTCAATTTTTCATCTTTCGTTTCGATAACCTGTGATTCATTTACGCTGCTTGTCATTTTGTTATTTTTTATAAACTTAATAAATTAGCATTATTGTTGAAAATTATACTCCAGTTTTTTTATTTCACTCGATAGAAGCTAAAATAAACTAATTTGTATGATCGTACTTCTAGGAGAGAAATGAGCAGTAATTTTTTTTTCTACAATATGTGTCGTAATACACTAGCGAATCTAGCACACTTTTATCCTGCTGAATTTATGCCTCGTTTTTAAATGGGAGTTGAAACATCTAGAATAACTGTGGTCCAAACTAGAGTTTCTGGAATGTTCCGTTGCATTACATCAGTCTGGATGCGCTTTAAGACGATTCTTGCGAATTGACATTTTTGGTGAAGATGTGAAAACATTTTAATATTGTAGACTTGCTACACATAATAATTAAGTGTGATATCTATTTGTTTTAAAATATTCAATGTAGGTATTTGTTGAAATGGCTTTACTATTCTTGTAGCTAGCACATTGTATATATATTTTATTTTTACTTTTAATATATCATGAATAACAATATTACCAAATTAAAATGGAAAACAAAGAAGATACCTAATACACCTAGTTCTCGGCATCGGCATTATACACTCTGTTTTGAAAAGTACAAGTTGAGATTGCCGATAGTCCGATAGTGACATCTCGAAGAGTGAATTGTAGATTTATTCTCGCACTTATATTTCTTATTGTTTTTGCACATTTCCTAAACAGTCCTTATCTCTTGTTTTTTGCCACTCTATATACCTTTAGTGGTCATTCTACTGGTTTTCGCCATTCTCATGGTTTATCTTCCAGTCTCATTCATATTGTTAATAAAATATTGTTAATGGTACATGAAATTACTGTTAATTTAATTAATATAATCTAACGATTCATAAGCAAAAATTCGATTCTATTTTGACTAACGGGCGATGAAAACCTGGCATCATAATATAAAACTACTGCTCAAGACTATCACTTCTCTCCAACGATAAAAAACTACTAGACTAATCTTAGTAGTTGTCAAATTATTATGAGACAGTTGTTACAAGGATTGTTTATAGTTATAATTCGGTATTGACTAAACATAAGGCTCTAAAGCGCACAAAAGGCTTTCAACATTAGATAAAGGAAGTATTGCATTCTTAATGCCAATTATTATCAGTTTAATGTATTTTTCTCTTTGCAACTATCATAGTTGTATAGTGTTTTTCAGGAAAGTGCGTAATTAATTTTGACGTGTGACAGCAGTGTAAAACAAGCGTAGTAGACATTATTACTGGTTCATTCATAACACACAGATAAATGTATTCGCGCAAACCATCCGCACTCAAAGTAGCAGCTATCCTCTTCTTTCTAATACGGCAGCCGTTGCGACAGCTCTGTCTGCATAATAGTAAACAGTCCGAATGATTGCAATAAATAAGAGCTTAATTATGAATGGATTAGTCTAGTAGTTTTTCGTCGTTGTTTCTCTCAAATTGACCACACATAATTATTTTATGGCATCTCCTTATTAGTAGCATATAATCAATATGCTAGTAATTTTCGATGCTATTGACACTATTGATCAAAACTAAATTAGTAGTCTTGCCAAGAACCTTGGCTTCTGTCAGTTACTTGTTCCCGTCTGCTCTGTTGGTTTCCACTTGTTTCTTAGTCCTGATTTTCTTGTCTTCTCGTCACGAAATATTGTTAAAATAAGATTTTATAAATGAGTGAGGATATCGATTCTTCCTTGTTTCATGTTGTACTCGTTCAAATTTATCAGTCATTCATGAAATGATTTCCAGATTTACAAATTTTAAAGGTTGAGGTAAAATGAAAGGCGTATTTAAAGTGTGCAAACTAAGATATTTCCTGTCTTATATTTAAATAATATCGAGTGCTTTCGGCATTTAGGGTCATCACTGAGACTTCGTCAAAAATAGATGAGTTGGGTAACATTGCACACTAGGAACAGTTTTAACTAATATTAAATGGATAGGTTAGGACCCTAAACGTATTTAAATCTTTATATATGTATTTTCGCTCCGATTTGAGCACGTGGAAAATTTTTCGAATTTCAAAATTTTATTTTAACCTCTCCATTCAAGGCTAGTTAAAACTG